ATAATGAGTTTTATCCATTTTGATATGAGAAATACCAGGTCTGAGCGATTATCAGCAGATAAATTTGCACTCGTGTCGGGAATATGGAACCCATTTATAGAGAATTGTATATTATGTTATACACCTGGCGAAAATATAACTATCTACGAACAGCTTTTTTCCACGAAGGCAACATGCCGCTTTACCCAGTACATGGCGAATAAACCCGATAAGTTTGGAATTAAATTCTGGCTTGCAGCTGATGTCGAGTCCAAATAATATTTGTTGAACGGATTTCCTTACCTAGGGAAAGATGAACAACGACCAGCCAATCAATTTCTGGGGGAACATGTTGTTAGCCGTCTAATGGAACCATTTATAAATAAAGGAAGAAATGTCACGACGGATAATTTCTTTGCGTTCATAAAGTTGGCAAAAGAATTACGAAAGAAGGCTACCAGCATTGTTGGAACAATCAACCGAACAAGAAAGGATATTCCACCGTCAGTAAAAAAATGAAAAGATGGAATTGTACAAAACAAAAATTTTCAAACACGAAGACTTGACGCTAACGGCGTACCAGGGAAAAGTCAACAAAAATGTTCTAGTGCTGAGTTCTTTACACTCGAATGATATTAAAATGGGCACAGATAAGAAGAAAAAACCGGAAACCATCATCTTCTACAACCAGACAAAATACGAAGTAGACGTTGTTGATCAGATGGCTAGACTGTATTCAACCAAATCTACTTCAAGAAGATGGCCGTTGCAAGTTTTTTTTTAATATTTTAGATATGGCAGGAATAAATGCTTGGGTTCTGTATAAGAAAGTTACGGGCAATCAAATATCTAGACAGGATTTCCTATTTCACTTAACAAAACAATTGCGAGAAGATCACATGACTAAGGGCAGGACAACATCAACAGATACAAATCCAAGAGGTACAAATAAACCACCAAAAAACATTTGAAATTTGTCATATATGTAAAAAATTTGTGTGTGGGTCATGTACAAGCAAAATTGAAAAATTTGCAAAATTGAAAAATTTTGCTACTGCATAAATTGTACTTAAATAATTAAATAATTTATTTAAATATATTAAATATGTCTTTTATTATTAGTTATTAACTCAATATAGGTTTTTATCAAATAAAAAAGAATACAAAAACGGCTGACAATAGAAAATTCTAATATCCGTCATTTTGACCGCCGGTGGTGCTTCTAGGTATGCACAAATGCTGGTGTTTTTAGTGTTAATGTTTGGGGCGGCATTATGAGCGAGTACGTTATCGGCCCGTATTTTTTTGAGGGACATCTCAATGGGACAAATTTCCCAAATTTTTTAAAACAAGATTTTTGTACACTGCTTGAGAACCTTCCACTTAGTCTACGAATAAAAATGTGGCTCCACTTGGACGGAGTTCCTGCTCATTTCTCACGTAATGTTAGGAACTACCTTAACAGACAATCTAAAAACGGATGGATATGTAGAGGTGGTTGATATAATTGGCCCCCTAGGTCACTAGCGCTAACTGGGGCTTCATCGTAGACAAGATTGTCGAACTTGGAGCCCCGGAATATGTGTCCAATATAATAAATGACTACCTATCGCAAAGAAGCGTATGCATATCGAAGAAAAATAAGATGAAAATGACTGCTGGATTACCCAAGGTCAGCCCTGGACCCACACTATGCAATATTTTATACAACGGGATATTAGAAGTAAACAAAACTCAAGTAGTAAGGGCTATTGCATACGCAGATGACTCTGCCCTCTTTATGGAAGACATGAATTGGGGTATTATAAACAAAGTAAATGAAGCAATAGAAAAAACTGCGAGATGGATAGAGAGAAATGACCTAAACATTGCAGTAGAAAGGACAGAGGTAATTATCTTGAGGGGACTACGGGATAGAAAAAACGTAAATTTTTGGTTTAGAGGCTCCGACCTAAGCCCTCAGAAGACCGTAAAATACTTGGGAATCATACTAGACGACAGAATGGCATTCAGACACCACATACAAGAAGCATGTCGGAAGGCGGAAGAGAGGATCTCGACCCTTAATAAGATAATACCGAATATGGGAGGTCCCGGGTTACACAAAAGATCAGTTATACTAAAGTCAATCATGTCCATCTTACTGTATGGGGCTCCAGTGTGGCATGAGATCCTCAACAAAGCAAAATATAAAGACATGCTTCTTAGGACACAGAGGAAACCATTGATCAGGGTATGCAGCGCGTACAGGACCGTATCAACCATTGCCTTACAAGTAGTGGCCGGTGCTGTACTGGTGCATATCTTGGCTAATGAAAGGTTTCGGATGCACCAAAGGGGCAACTTAGCTTTAAGTTCAGAAACTCAAGAAAGAAAAAGAAGTTTGGAGATCTGGCAGGATCAATGGTTAAGAGAAACAGACAAGGCTGCCTGGACCAGGGCCCTTATCCCAGATGTAGTAAGGTGGTATGAGTGTAAACACAGACGTGTCAACTACTACTTCTCCCAATTTATGACGGGACATGAATCTTTCCGGTCTTATACATATAGAATAAAGAAGACCGAGGACGATCTGTGTCCCGAGTGTGGAGTAGTGGATGAACAATGTGGGGCGAAACTTGCTGCAGCTGGGCCTGGGGTTACCTCTAGGTGAGCCACATGAACTAATAAACAAGGCAATTGAAAACAAAAGTCTCTTTGACTTGATCATTGGTTTTGTGACAGAAACCATAAAACACAAGGAAGAGAAAGAGACGAGACTGCAACAAAAGTGAACTGTTTATTTTAATGTGTCGTATCTGTCGGCGTCAGTAGAGTGAGCCACTATTCGGCTCCCACTACTGATGCCGAAATTTTAAATGAATTTACACAATTTACATACGTGTTGTTTCTTTTTGTTTTGTCTTTAATTGTATCTAGTGTACGGTGTGTGTCTCCTTTTGGAGCAGCCTATTACTAAGTAATGGGCTGGTGTAGATGGAGAAATGAATGTACCACCCCCGGGGACAGAATATGAATGTCTGGAGTTGCTTGTACCTGTTCTCTGATCTTTCTCGTTAAGTTCAAGATTGTTGAAATAGCGGCGCGGTCGCTCCTTCCTGCCTATCGCTCTGTACAAGGATGGTTATCTTACAGACCAAGTCCGGTGCAGACATGAGTAGGGTGGCGCGACTGGGTTGCTATGACAATCACGGAGCGCAGACGGAGAGCGATAGATAGGAGTTATGAGCAAAGCTGACGGGTCAGATGGTAATGCTCACTAAGAGCGGTCCCAGGTCCGTCGGTTGGAGAAAGAGGGGATGAGTTTAGTTGGTAGGCGGTCAACTACGGTAAGGTGCAGTCCAACACATCTTGGACACCTTCCCAGAGGTCTTTTGAAGATTCTCACCTCCCAAAAAAAAAGATGGATTTTTTTAAGTGGGGTTATATTAAAAATATTGTATATGCTACACCTCTTACTACTAGAGATGACATAAAATTAAGAATTACAAACGCGTTTGCTTCAATAACTCCTGCTATGTTAAATAATGTAAGTAAATCATTCGAAGATTGAACCGCTTGTTGTATTGCACAAGATGGCAAGCTGTTTGAACATCTGTTACATACTTGAACATTTTTTAGTTATACTAAGTTTTGGATTATTTTGTATTATTTATGTTCATTATTTATTTTGTATTATTTTTTTCATTAAAATTCTTTCTGTTTTGTTATGTATTTAATTGTTTTCAAAAAAGTGTGTGTGCTCGTAACCACGTAGGAAGTTATAGGTACATCTTATTATTATTATTATGAATTCAACGAAATACATATATTTTATAGTTTTATTTTTATTTAAATATTAAACTCATTTTAATGCTTAAAATAATATTAATAAAAAATAAAGGAGAGGGCGAAGCGAATTTGTGAACCACATCTCCAAAGTGAACTTCTTTATATTGAAAAAGCGCTCACCTCTAATGGTTATACCAGAAGAGAAATACACAAGACGATGAACAACATATCTAGAAAAAAGGACGAAGAAACAGAATGTAAAGGCAAAGCGTTCTTGCCCTATATATCGGAGGTAACGGACAGAATTGGGCGAATACCTAGTAAAGCCAACGTAAAGACCATTTTCAAGCCTACAAAGAAAATCAAGGATTATTTAAGATCGGTGAAAGACAAACGGGACCCATTAGCAACGGCCGGAGTATACCGAATACCATGTATATGTGGAATGGTATATGTGGGAACCACAAAAGACACACAAACACAAGGATAAATGAACATAAAAGCCATTGTCGTTCAGGACATATCGACAAATCTGCCGTTGCCGAACACGCTTTGGGAAGCGAAGAACATCGGATACTATTTGAAGAAACACAGATGCTGGACAAAACTTCACAGTACTACCCACGGTTGTACCGGGAAGTGGTGGAAATATACAAGTACCCAAATAATTTTAATCAGATGGAAGAAGGACTGAAAATTAACAAGACATGGATACCAATATTAAAATCCACAAACGCCCTTCCCGCCAAACACGAAGAAAGAAAAGCTACTACAAACAACGACACGCCCCCTCAAGCCGAAACCAGTGGAGGGGAGGCGAGTGGGAATTATAAATCTTGCCTCCGTAGTACAACGCGGCGTCAGTTTATGCTTACAAGCGAAGCATTAACATCTCCAGAAGATGCAAACCCATAGTGTTGGCGAAACATCGAGAACTAATCTCAGAAGACAACGGCCTAACAGCCCGAACAAACAGTTTAATAAAATACAGGGTGTTTCATAAGTAAAAATATAATTTTGGAACGCCGCGCTTTATTGTGACACCCTGTATATTTTAGAATTTTAAAATGTAGCCTTTATCAACGTACATACTATACATTTAAAATGTTTTCAAAATCTTTTACCGTTTCGCTGTAATCTTCCGTCCCATTAGTGGTGACTCATCCTGTATATCCTTTTATATCTTCTTAGTGTTTAATTATTCATTTAACTTTCTAATTTACATATTTATACTCATATTATACTTTTAGATACTGTCGAAACGGAGTATATGGTAATTCTGTACCTTCTTGTACAGACATTAAACAAAAGCCTGTGTATGTCTCTAATACATTATACAAATCCAAAACAAAAATAAACCATACATCAATGACAACAACCATAAGAAGCATTACCATACCAAGATATGTAACAAGATATATAATAACAAAGCCGACTTCTAGTCCAGTTATTAACGATGGTAAACAAGGACTATGTATTTATACCAAATGGATAGCATTTAATGGCTCATATCCAGGAGATCCCAGAAAAGTTGACCCTACAATTGAGTGCAAAAGAGTGTTTTAGCAGTTAAAGCACACTGCGATTTGAAATAGGCGTATCACTTACTTTTCTACACTGCTTACGTCAGGACCTACGTAACTCCCTACTTGTAATTGATTTGAAATCTACAGTGTTAACTTGTTTCGATCTTTACTCAGTGGCGCCGGCCGCCGGGTTGTTTATTGACAACAAATGCATTATTCTGCATTCAAATTAGTTTTGTCTGGAATACCTTTTTAGATTGACTATCGTAGATAATGCTTTGAAAAAAATTATCACATTTTTAATTTATATGTCTTAGCTAAATATAGTATTGAATAAAAATTTGTGAAACATGAATGCAAAAGAATATCATGGTGTTTATTTATAATAGATTTAAAATAATATAAAAATATTATCAAAAAATTACAATTTGAATCTCAAGAAGTTATTTGTTTGTTAGAGAAAACTGATATTAGCCTAGTAAAAATTAAACAATAAATATTTTTATTTGTCTATAAAAAATTGGTACCTGAGAAACCATAATAGTAAATGTATTTATCTGGCAAGTATTTCGAGGCGACGCACTGTGAGGACAAAGACTACAGCCTTGTGATGTCAGCATATTTAGACCTTTAAAAGTTGAATGGAAATCAGTATGCTGCCTTCATAAACAAAAGAGTAGTACACCAATTACTCGCCATAATTTTAGTATGCTTTTTATTAAAGAAACTTTTGATGAAGCTTCTAAGGAAAGAACCATTATAAATGGATTCAGGATTTGTGGCCTTTATCCAATTAAACCCTGACGCAGTTGATTATTTAAAGTGTATCTCGACCCGACGAAATTAAATCTTTCAAAAAATACTCAGTACCGAATTGTCAGTAGAAGATTACAAATGTTCCTTAAAAGTATTGGTACACTATTTACATAATAATATTACAAATTTTTCCAAGGACATGAGCCTTGGTATGAACCAAGCATACATGAGCCAAAGACTTTTGACTACAGTGGCGCTAAGTTGCCCACTTCGACTGAAATATATAATGGACCAGGCGAAGAATTGTTTAACGAGTCGTTTTTAAATAATATACCAATAGATGCAAAATATACAAGCGATGTATTCACCGAATCATTTTTAAATGAATTGTCAGTTGAAATTGACGGAGTTCTGTACGAGCCCCCAACTAATGATACAGCATTAAAAGAAATTGCTGCAACTACACCTATACCTCGTATTATGCCTGATGAATATATCGATTCGGAAATTAAATCATACTGTTTAGAAACAGTTGAAACGATTATTGACAATGTTTATAATATTATGGAAAAAAGACTTCCAATCTGCGTGTATTGCTATTCCAGCCAAAATTGTCCATTGCAATGAACCAAAGGTCAAGTTACCCAATACTGCCCTAAGCCAAAGAAACAAAAATACTTTAAGTGAAGAATGGAGTAATCATCTTTACTGGCCACAGCAAGAGAGTGTACCAAAAAAGAGAAACCAGCGTGTGCGAATGCCTTATGCATTTACATCTAATCAGTGGGTGTAATACCATGTTGAACAAGTAAACAAAAAAAGAAAAAGGAAAATAATGTAAAAAAAGAAAACTGGAGACGGATCTAAAGAAATCAATAGCTAAAAATAAAAATTTATCCGAAAAAGAAACCAAGAAGATCAAACTAACGATAAAAAAAGAGGGATCAGAAAAAAAAAAGTTTAAAAGAGTTGATAGATGAAGTTCGAGAAAGTAAAGGTAATATCAATGATTATAAAAATTTGAATCACAAATGTAACTTTTCTGATTTTAGTTGAAATGAAACAAAACGAGGCGGAAACAACTAAACCTGACGATGTTGGAAGCAATGAGGGTAAGATCAAAAATAAAATGCATATTCTAGTAACATATATATTCTTATAATATATTATATATTATATATATATATATATATATATATATATATATATATATATAATATATATATATTATAGTTTTTGAAGTTTTGTACTCGTGACTTATCATAACAAGAAGTATCCAGGTTTAATAAAAAATATAGATCGAGGCCCAAGAATATTAAATTAGTGTTATGGAAAAATTTGAAAAAATATTTGGAGATGGCCCAAAAGCTTAAACCAAATTTGATATAAAAAAAAGTTTATTTAAAAAAAAAATGGAGCCGATATCTTCTGAACGCAGTATTTACAGAATTTACAGTATACACAGAAATTACAGAATAGGTAAGTAGTATATTTTATTTGTGCTTCTCTATAAAAGAGTTGGCCAGGAGTTGTTGTACAGTGTAGCCAATTCGTGTTCACAAGTAGTAATTATTGTCATACAAAACCTATATTCTTCCACGCAGCGATTATCACCGTCATAAAAATACCAAAAAATATGATTTTTTCAATAGCAAAAATTAATCACAAAATTGTAATAAAATAATTTTATTTTATATGTTCCGTTTTGTTACATATTTAAATTTATAAAATAAAAATCGATATCTTTAAACATTATTTTTCAATCTTTTGGCAACCTTGGGCTTTAGCGACGGAATTCCGACTCACAGATAGCCATAAAACTCGTTTGACGGTTATGCTGATCAAGAAATCAACTCAGTTATCGTTCATTTATATTGGCGTTTTGGAAGGTAGTGCATGTGTTTTATTTTGTGAATATATTTGTGATAAGTTTGTGTTATTGATAATACGAGTATTATAGTTTGTCGTTTTATAGTAAATTTTTAGTTATATTATGTAATTATTTGGTTGGAGTTTTGGTTTACACTGAAGTTTAGTAAAGTATATATATATATATATATATATATATATATATATATATATATATATATGTATGTATATATATTATTTGTTTATATTTTATGTATAAATAGCTTTATAATTTTTTATTATATTAAGCTTTATTTTATATAGTTATATTCTGTGATTATTTGTTTTGGTAGTTGTTCTACGAGAAGACAACAAAATACTAATGTTGATTTCAAAAATGAAAAGCCGCAAAAGAGACGGAAAATGTTAACGTCCAAAAAGAAGGTAATGATACGAAACGTTTATGAGGGAATTCGCAAGAAGTAGCACGCAATAACAAAACGTTCAAATTAAACGAAGTTAAGGAACTTTTAATTCAAGCAATCCTCAATGTAACTCCAGAGAAATGGGCTAAATGTATAGGCCACATACGAAAAACATCGTATGTGGTTACTTGACACTCATATCGAAGTTTTACTAGAGCCAATTATAATTATTACACCAGGTGAAGATCATGACAGCGATAGCAGTACTGCATCTTCAGATTTAGACAGCGAATAATATTTTCTAATAGTTTAGTAAGAACATCAGCATAAAAAAACAAAAACAAAAAAAACGAGAAGAACATAGCAAGTGTGTATAGATTTTGTGTTTAAATAGAATAGTACAATGTTTTGTTACATCAAAAATTATTATTTTTATTTTGTTTTTATAGAATTTTATTTTGTTTTGTTTTATACTGTTTTTAAAGTGTTTTGCTCATTTTATTTAATGGCACAATATGGCTCTTGGCGAATATCCATTTAAAAAAGTAACGCGTCACAAGACATACCTCTGGGTTGGTGTGGAAATTGTCTTAAAATTTGTTTTAAAAAAATTTCATTGTGTAACTCTTTAAGGACGGGTCGCGTCAAAAGACGTTTTAGCATAACTTCCACGACACTCGGGTGGCATCAGCAAGCTTTCTGCAAAATTAATTGTTTTTTATTACTTTTTGTTTGTGGCATTCTATATTTTTAGGGGAATGTAGGGAATGACCCATACAAAATATGTATTCATATGTTTATTTACTGACGTTTCGATCTCTTTATCCAGAGACCGTTTTCAATTATACAAATGATAGTAATGTTTATTTTCTATGGCTTTTTGCTTGTTTGGAATAAGCCACAAGATATTTATTCAAATGTTTAATTTACGGACGTTTCGATCTCTATATAGAGATCGTTTTCAAACATACAAATGACAGATATATTTATTTTTCTATAGCTTTGAGTTTGTGTCATTCTATATTTTTAGGGATAAGGTTGGAAATAAACCACAATATATCTATTTACGTGTTTAATACACTGACGTTTCCATCTCTATTCCAGAGATCGTTTTCAAAGATAAAAAAAAGAAAATAAATAATATAAGATTATAAAAATATATAATAATATACAAATAAAATAAATATAACTATCATTTATTATTTTAAAAGCGGACATTAGATATAGAAATCGAAACGTCAGTAAAAACTTGTAAATAAATATATTGTGGCCTATTTCGAACAATAATATTTGAATAATATAATATAATGACAACCAACTAGCTCAATCAAAACCCCTGGAATCGAATCTACCTAAATACAATATTGATGCACTGCAAAACGACTCGACATCATTCTTATATAAGCTGCGACTTAGCCTAAAATTGGCAAATCTGATCTACTCCTCAGCCCAGAATACCTATAAAGAGATAATCAATAAAATCAATGAAGCAGCTTACGAAGCGCTCGGCACAATCCAAAAGAACAAAAAGAATACTCCATTGTGGTGGACAAATGACATCGCCAATGCAGTACACAACAAGAAACAAGCATATCAAAAGTGGCTGCAAACAAATGATCCAGATGATAGACGAACATATGCAAGATTAAACAGAGAAGTAAAAAACTTAGTAACTAAAGCAAAAAATATTTCCTGGGAAAGTAAATGCGAAGAACTCAACAAATATATAGGGTCAACAAGATCAAGAGAAGCATGGAAAACGGTAAAAAAATCTGAGAACAAACAGAAAAGAAACGAGTAGAATAGATTTAATAGAAGAAAAATCTTGGATCGAACACTACTCACAACTTTTAACTGAAACAAGACCTCAATTCACGAACATCAGTACAACACCATATGAACTGGAATTTAGTGAAGACGATGAAATAACAGTACAGGAAGTCGAGAATGCAATACGAACTCTAAAAAATGGGAAGTCATGCGGACCACAAGGTATACCAAATGAATTATTAAAACATAGCCCACAAGTATTACGGGAATTACTGGCGTATGTCTTCACCTTATTCTATAATGGACACGACTCACCACCGGAGTGGACAAAAGCACATATTAACAACATATACAAAAAAGGAGATAGAAAGAATTGTTCAAACTATAGGGGGCTCAGTGTCATAAATTCACTCTCAAGACTATATGGAAAAATAATAAAAAATAAAATTGAAAAAGAGATGACAGATGTAGAAGAACAGAATGGCTTTCGTGCAGGCAGATCCTGCATGGACAGTATATTCTCTCTAAAGCAAGTTATCGAAAAAAGATTAGCC